TTCACCATCTACCGTCAATGCCTAGAACCATGCCTGGCCTATAGTAGGTGATCATTAGATATTTGTCAAGTGAATAAATGAATAGACTGAGGTAGCAGTGACCTAGGGGTCAGGAGAGCTGGATCTGGACTCAGCCTTGCCATGACGAGACCTTGGAGAAGACCCTTTCCTCTCTGGGCCTCAGTTTATTCTCTGTGATTCCACAAAGGGCTCTGTGCCTGACCACACACCAGCCACCGTTGGCAAGCAGGGGTCACCCCCAACCCTGAGGTGCAATCTGCTAACCTCCCTGACCACCACCCTTCAGGCCCTGAGCATTTGGGGGGGGGGGTCCCTTGCTGGCAGCCTTGGGGGTTGGGAGCACCTACAGTGCCACCTCCACTCCTTCCTCCCCAGGGGAGACAAAACCAGTCCAACCGGTTCTCCTGGGCCACATGGGATATCTGCTCAGTCATCTGAGACTTCCAAGCCACCGCCTCTGTCATTTGTCCCAGATACTTTCAGCTCCCTCTTAAGACAAAGGAAAGCGTCCTTGATATCAGACATTAACTCCTAGGGCTTTGGGTCAGCTGTGTCTCAGCCTACATGGCAGCTTCTTACTGGGGAAACTTGGCCTCCTTGGAATGGGAGGAGAGGATGAGTAGAGTGGGCCTGGTTCCTTAAGTGCTGTTGTTCGCTCACTCAACAAATATTGATGGAGGAGTTCCTGGGCAGTCCTAGGCACTGTAGACATATCAGTGAACAAAAGAGACAAAAGCCCTTGTCCTCGTGGACCTTTTGTTTCTAGTGAGGGGAACAGACAATAAAGAAATGTCTAATGTAATGTCAAGGGTGATGAATAAAAATGAAGCAGGGTAAGGAGCTAAAAAGTGATGGGATTGGGGGGGCGGTTATTGGCCAGGGAAGGCCTCTCTGAGGAAATGACTTTTGGACAAAGGCGAAGAGTGGGAGGGAGCCAGACATATGAAAATCTGAGGAAAGAGCATTCTAGACAGAGGTAACAAGTGCAAAGGCCCCGAGGCAGGAACTAGCTGCTATTATGGAGGAGCAGCAAAAGGGCAGGTGTGGCAAGAGAGGAGGGAGAGAAAAAAGGAGTGGCAGAAGACGAGGGCTGCATCATGCAGAACCTTGAAATCTACAGGGAAAACTTTAATAATTTTATTTATTTATTTTTTTCCCCCAAAGCCCCAGTAGATAGTTGTATGTCATAGTTGCACATCCTCCTAGTTGCTATATGTGGGACACGGCCTCAGCATGGCCAGAGAAGCGGTGCGTCGGTGCGCGCCCGGGATCCGAACCCGGGCCACCAGTAGTGGAGCGCGCACACTTAACCGCTAAGCCACGGGGCCGGCCCCTACAGGGAAAACTTTAGATTTCATTCTGGGAGAGATCAGAAGCCACTGGAGGATTTTAAATAGGAAAGTGGCATAATCTGATTCAGGCTCTAGAAAAATCCCTTGGGCTGCTGTCAAGATTATGGATCATGGTGGGGAAGCGAGAAAGCAGGAAGACCAAATAGAAGGCTAATGCAGTCATCCATGCAGAAGAGGCTGGTGGCCTAGATGCGGTAGTGGTGGCCCAGGAGATGAGCAGTGGTTGGAGCCTGGGAGAAGTGGTTCCAAATAAACCTCCAGTCCATCAGAGCTGGGGAGAGCTTTAGAGATCCTAAGACAAGGCAGGAACTTTGGAGTCTGTCATTCCTGGGTTTGAAGCCCAGCTACACACATTCTGCCTGTGAGTCCTTGGGCAGGTCACTACACTTCTCTGAGCCTTGGTTTCCCCATCTGTAAAATGGGTGTGATAAAAGCTTGCTTCCAAGGGTGTCTTGAGGACTCAGTGACATGTAAATAAGGCACAGAGCACAGGGCTTGGCACTTAGTAGACAGGAAAGTTAGACATGACTCAACTTTCCACATTTATTGATAGAGAAACTGAGGCCAGCTAGCTTAGAGGCAGACAGAGGCCTGGAAGGGGGAGGGAGAAAGGAGGCAGGATTTGCCGGGTCCCTTAAGTCATATACTCAGAGTCCAGACAGTAAGATAGATGAGTAAAGTGGGCCAGAACACGAAAAATCATGTGACCCTGTCCAGCGATCTTGTTTTCCCACTTTTGAGAGACATGGGAAACTGGAAATATTTCTCTACTCTAAGATAAATCAACACAAGTACAGTAAGTAGCAACTAACATTCAGCTGCAAAGTCAGGGAGACAGTAGGGAAGAACAGGGACTCTGGCCACCTGGAACGCACGTGCCCACGGAAAGGGGCTGGCTAGCCCAGCTCCAGCTGACTGCTGCCCCCTGTGCCAGACACCCCAATTTTCAACAGAAGTCAGGAATCCAGATTTTTATGTGAAATCTCCCAATTTTTAATTACATCTTCCAATTGCTTCTGGCATATAGGAACACAGTAAACTTGTATATGTTGACCTTGCAATTATCTTACCTTTTCTGATCCTTACCATTTACTTCTCTTTCTGGCCTGACTGCTCCGGCTAGGCCTCCCGGGTAATGGCTAGCAGGCACCGTGTCTTGTTCCCGACACAGAGGGGATGCATCTCACTTTTCACTGCTGCAGGTTTTTAATTTCATTATTTTTAAATGTTGGCTCATTTTTCTCAAACATTGTGAAAGCCAAAGTCTGTCTATGGGCTGCCTTCAACCCACAGGCTGCCAATTTGTGATCTCGCTTTACCTGAATTATCTCTGAATTGTGACAACAACGTCATCGGGTAGGTACTATTATTCTCCCCATTTGACATCTAAGGACACCGAGGTTCAGAGACGTGAAGTGACTTGCCACAGTCACACAGCTGGGAAGGGGCAGAGCCAGGATTCAAACCCAGTTCTGCCTAATGCCAAAGTCTATGGGGCCCTGCATGCCCAGGACAGCCCCTCTTTTCACACTACACCCTGTCCAGCATCTCGGGGCTCTGTGAGAGGCCCTGGGGTCCTGGAGCAGCTTTGTCATCAACTCTCTGAGACCCTTGACCAAGGGCCTTGCCCTCTCTGGGCCTCAGTCCCCCTATCTGCCAACCTAGGAGTTCAGCTATGGGAACCCCAATATTGCCCCAGCCTCCTCCCCTGCAGTCCAACTCTGCATCTATTAAATATCAGACCTGACCTTGACACGTCCCTTGTTCTGAGGCCAGGCCCTGCCACTTACTGCTGTGACTAGGGCTGCTTAACTTCGCTGTGTCTGTTGCCTCACCTCAGCTGTAAAATGGGGTTAAAAGCAGCACCCACCTCAAAGTGCTTAGGACAGTGCCAGGCACGTGATAAGTGCCTAGTAAATGCTAGTCCTCAGGACTGGTCAATGTGCACACATGTGTACACTGATGGAAGAAGAGAGAGAGAGATAATTTAAATAGTTGTATTAAGGTGGACATGTGGTGAGGCTTTTGTTTTTCCTTTTTTTTTTTTTTTTTTTGTGAGGAAGATGGGCCCTGAGCTAACATCTGTTGCCGATCTTCTTTTTGCTTGAGGAAGATTGTCGCTGAGCTAACATCTGTGCCCATCTTCCTCTATTTTGTATGTGGGACACCGCCACAGCAGTGGTGTGTTGAGTGGTGTGTAGGTCCACGCCCAGGATCCAAACCCGCAAACCCTGGGCCGCCAAAGCGGAGTGTGCAAACTTAACCGCTACACCATTGGGCCAGCCCCAGCAGATGTGTTTTTTAATATATCCTTTAATGTCATTGTTACAACTAAAAAAAATGTTTAATGCCTCCCATGACTCCTCCATCATGTAGAGAATAAAGCCCAATTCCTTAACCCAACATCCAAGGCTCTCTCTGACTCGACACCAACCCATATCTCAACAGAGCAAGTGGCTAAGAGCACATGGCGGCAGGCTGCCCAGCTTGAAGCCCAGCTCACTGACTTAGTAGCTGTGTGAGCCTAGGCAAGGGACTCTGCCTCTCTGTGCCTCAGTTTCCTCATCTGTAAAATAAGGAATGTAACAATTCTCACCTGATGGGGCTGAGGAGATGTGACAGAAAAGGCTTTAGCACAGTGTCCATCACATGGAAGCTTGAAGCATGTCAGCGATTATCATGATCTATCCCCTCTCCCCAGATCTCTGGTCACCCTGGACCATTCATGGGCCTTGGAACGCGACAGGCCTCGCAGTGTCATACCTCCAGATCCTCGCTTGTGCCTTGCTCTACCTGGCATGCCTTCCTCTATCTATCCATCCATCAAAACACTTTGTGTCAAGGCCCAGCTCAAACGCCACCTCCTCCAACGTTTGCTGTCCCCACTAGTCCCTCTTCTGGGCTTTTTGAGGGCCGGGTACATTTACAGCCCTCATGCCCTCAGCCGTGTACTCTGGCCTCGTTTGTCCCTCCCACTGCATCTGTCCCTTCCTGAGGATGTGGGGGCATCCGGCTTGCTCTGAGCTCCAGCCCTGAGCCCCAGCACAGATGTCTGAGGGACGTGCCAGCCTTCAAGGAAACTCGGTCACCAAACTGAGACAGCTCTGCTGTGTCCTGCCCTGTCCCCTCTCGAGCCTCAGTTTCTCCTCCTGTAACGGAGGCAATGTGGCCCAGCAGGGTGGTTGTGAAGGTACACGAGGAAACAGTGGTCAAGGCCCCTTTGCTCCCTCCCTGCCCCCTGATGAGCCTGGTTTGCTTCCTCACTGGACTAGCTGGGGAGGAGGTGGGGGCATCTACAGCCTCCAGAGGCCTGCTCAGATGGACCTCTGGCTCTGGTCAGAGTTTCTGATTCCAAACAGTCTGGGGCAAGGCCCAGGATCCCGCATTTTCAAAAGCGAGTTAAACGCCTCCCCCTGGGGGTTTCCACGGGCCATGTTCTGAAACAACTGTCTGGGAGCACCAAACCTGCTCCTTCCTTTACAACCTCTCCACGGGTAACGTTGGCCAGCACAGGCATGCAGGAGGAGCCACAGGACTGCTCAGCCCCCACACTTTGGAGGGGGGAGTGCTGCCACCTAGGGACTAAGAAAGAAACTGCCAAAGCTGAGGCCTGAGCCACATGGACACACATTTTGATAAAAACATTTATGAGCACTTTCCAAGTGCTGGGTACTATGCCAAGTCCTTTGCATACTTCATCATACTGGATCCCCATAACAGCCCTGTGAGGTAGTACTGTCGTAAGCCCCATTGTACAGATGAGGAACACAGGGCTCAGAGAGGTGAAGTGACTTACCCAAGGTCACACAGCAAGTGAGTGGCAGCACTTGGATTTGAAGCCAGATCTGGCTGATAGCTGCATTCTAACCACAACACTCGAGTGCCTCCTAAATGCCTACACCATAGAGTCATCTGGGGATGCTGCGAGGAACCGTACGTGAAAAGGTCCAGCAGATAAGGGCTCCAACCACGTCAGATCTTCCGAAGAGCAGCTTGACTTGAGGCCATCCTGAGGTGGGCGGGACCACCCTGGCTTCTCTCTTAGGTGACCCGACCACCAGCCTAGATCAGCCAGACCTTGGGCAGCTCAGGCTCAGCCATCTCTCTTGCCATCACCCCTGCCTCAGATCTCAGAATGCTGCAGGGCTTTGCAGCAGGATAGGGGACACAGCGAGGCAGCCACGGGCCAGGGTTTATAAATGACGTTCCAAAAAGACTTCAGCTGATGGCTCTCTTCCATTGGGAAGGATCTCTAGTCTGCCCCAGAGGCCCCAGACCCCAAGGTGAGCATCAGGCCGGGCTGTGGGAGCAAACGCCACGGGACCATCACTCCGAGGCCTGGATGTAGACGGGCACAGCGAGCATGGCACACGGGCCCTCGGTCCCTGCCTGCAGCTCTGCCAGCGCCAGGTTGGAGCCCAGGCCCTCGGCATGCCCGGGCACTACCAGCTCAGGTTCGCCACCCACTGTGCCACCCACTACGATGGACAGCACAGCGTCTGGCTCCGAGAAGGGCGGCTTGCCTGGGGCAGCCTCGGGCACTGGCCCAGCCCCTGTGTCCTTCAGCTCCTCCAGCCCCAGCGGGTCGGGCAGGGGGGTCACCACCTTGCACCCGCCACTGCTGCCACTGCGGGGGGCTGCCCTCCTCCAGGGGGGCCGCCGGGCTTGCAGGTCCTTGTCCCTTTGGGGGCTGAGGCGGCAGCGGTGATCCTTGAGGTATTTATGGCGGGAAAAGCCCTTGGCACAGCCAGCACAGCGGAACTTGTAGTTGCCCGTGTGGGCGCGCTGGTGCTCGGCGAGGTGGGCGCGGCGGCTGAAGGACTTGCTGCACAGGGCGCATTTGTGGAGCTTCATGCCTGGGGAGCGAGGGGAAGTCAGTGAGGCACCCAGACCCTCACCTGCAACGGTGCCTCCGCACTTGGCACAAAACCCAAAACTTCTCAATGTGCCCTACAAGCATCTATGTGACCTGGACCTGCTGCCTCCGTTCTCATCTTGCACCTTCTCCCAGCCATTCACTCTGAGCCAGCCACAAATGTTCTCCTCAAATGCACCAAGCTGGCTCCTGCCTCTGGGCCTTTGCACTTGCTGTTTCCCTCTGCCTGGAATGGCCCACTCAGTCCCCAAATCTTGGCTAACTTTCCAGGTCACCATCACATCTCTCCTCGCTGGTCTGCCTGCCTCCCCGGGGCCCCTCAGACCACTCCCTACTGGGCAGTCTTCATAAAACACACAAAGGATCACGACGTTCCCTGCTCCAAACCCTCCAGTGATTCCCCAAGTTTCCCACAAGGCCCTATGCGGTCTGACCACCCCCTTCACTTCCCAGCCCCATCCCCTCCCTCTCTCCGCCTTGCTCTCTGTGCTCTGGGCCTCCTGCCTGCCTTTCCTTATCTCAAACACCCTCTAGTCTCTTCCCTGCCTCAAGGCTCTGCACTTGCTGCTTCCTCACCCCAGAAGCCGTTTCCTGGCTCTTCTCATCCCTCAGGACTCAGCTCTCACGTCACCTGCTCAGAGAGGCCCTCCCTGATACCCGCCCCCTTCTTTCTCTGCCCCATCACTCTGTTTATATTTTCGTCTTTGCACTCAGCATACTTTCACGTAACACACTTATTTGCTTGCTTTCATTTTTGATCTCTGCCATTAAATGCTAAGCTTCCCCAGGAGGGCAGCGTGGGACTCTGTCTGATTCCCCCAAGGCACCCCAAGTGCCCGACATGCGGTAGGTTCTCAATAGTCACTCACCGAATGAATCACCAGTGCCTCCATTTCCGCCATAAAGTCAGCTCCAGCCCACACTCAGCCTGGGCATGGCCCCCTCACCCTCCCTGGGATGAAGGCTCAGAGAGGGGCCGTGACTTGCCTGAGGTCACCCAGCAGCACAGTGGCAGTGCCAAGACTCAAACCCAGGCCCTCCGTCTTTAAGTTCTCTATCTACTCTCCCAGTTTTCAAACTTTCTTTAGCCACTAAATTCTGCCTGTAAACCAGGGTTCTTAACCAGAGGCGATTTTACCCCCCAGGGGACTTTTAGCTGTCCCCTGAAGACGTTTTTGGTTGTCATAACTGTGGGGAGAGATGCTACTGAGATCTAATAGGTAGAGGCCAGGGATGCTGCTAAACATCCTACAGTGCACAGGGCGGCCCCTCAGAACAAAGAATTATCTGGCCCAAAATATCAACAATGCCGAGGTTGAAAAACTCTGTTCTAGACCAAATGGTATGTGGAAAGCCAGCCAAGCTGCTCTGGGGAAGCAGCAGCCCCCAGGGAAGCCCCCTGGAGCCCCCAGGAAACTGAGGAGTGGTGTGGAGACCCCTGCTCCACACCCCAGCTGCCCTGCTTTGCCAAGAAGACCGAGGAACCTTCCCGGCCATGTCTCTGACCGAGGCAGAATCTGATCTCCCTCCATCCTGATCCACACCGCACCACAATGGGCAGCTCTCTGACTCTCAGTTCTGTCCTCTCAGGTCGCCTTCCCCCTCAGCCCGCAGGACTGTGTCTGACTCACCTCTTACACCCTGAGGGCCCTGACACAGGCTTGGCTCACGGCTCACGTGAATGAAAGTCTGTTGGCGGGAATGTACCAGGTAGGGATAATAAGCCTCATAGGATGTGTCTGCTTTTCTGGGGGGCCTGCCAGGGGACTAGAGCTGAACCAGACCCTCCTGGCAGGTCTACGAGCCACTTACCTGAGTGGGAGAGGATGTGAGCCTTCAGCTTGTCTGGCCGGTTGAACTCTTTGCTGCAGCCTGTGTGTGTCCTGGAACCCAAAGGCACCGGTCAGGGGCCTCACCAAGCTCGGGACGCTCTTCTTGCCCTTCTGCTAGCCCTAGGCATGGGGGACCCCTGTCCACCCTAAGGGCTGGGCAAGGAAGCAGGGCGGGGAGTGGTGTAGGCAGGCAGGGCCCAGGACCAAGGGAGCGAGGGCCTCCAGCTCGCAGACCTGACATCTCTCTGTCCCCCGGGGGGAGCCTGCCCCTCCCACCACGCTCCCATCCTACTCACGAGAAGGGGCATTTGTACTTCTTGAACGGCTCATGGATCAACATGTGTCTCTTCAGTTTGTCCTTGCGGTTGAACGCGGACTCGCACACCGAGCATTTGTAGGGCTTCTCACCTGCAGGAGACACAGTCGGGGATGAGGGTCCTGTGAGAGGGAGTCTGCACGTGGGGCACAGGGAGTCCCCGCTAGAGGACAGCAGCTCCTCCAGGAACGCGGCCTGGGAGAAAATAGCCTCTCCCATTCCTCATGACTTTGCCAAGGAGCAGAGGGGGCTATTTTAGACAGGGGGGTCAGGAAAGGAGAACAATGGGGAGGCCAGTGTGGCTGGAATGGGGGTGGGGTGGGGTGGGGATATGAGACAGAAGATGAGGTCAGCGAGGCAGCCAGCTGGGCCCAACAGGGAGGGCCTGGAAGGCCAAGGAAGGACTTTGGCTTTTACTCTGAGCCAGATGAGAAGCCACCAGAGGGGGAGAGCAGAGGAGGGACAGGATCTGATTTAGAGGTTCCCAGGCTCCCTACGGCCGCGTGTAGACAACAGACTGAGGGGGTGAGGGTGGAGGCAGGAAGGAGGGCAAGAAATGAAAAGCAGAATCAGCAGCCTTGACCAATGGATTAGCTGAGGGGGGCGGTGAGAGGAAGGGAAGAGGCAAGGATGAGTGTAAGGTGTGGGCCGAATGACAGGGTGGGTGGCCATGGCATTTACTGAAATGGTTCGCCACGGGAGAGGGGGCATTACACCTTATCTAATTGAATCCTTGCAGAAAACCATGAGGTAACTACTATCATTATCCCCATTTTATAGATGAGAAAACTGACGTTCATGGTCTACACCTAGCGGTTGGGGGAGCTAAGATTCCAGCCCAGCAGTGTGATCCAGAGCCCACCTGGGTCACCCCAGATCACCCCAGTGCAGAACCCATTGTTGGGGGGTGCTCTCACCTGACAGGGGGCAGGGGTCACAACCTGCCCTGTTACTGGGCTGTTTTGATTTCCTGCCATTATTCCTCCTTATTCTCCCTCTGGAATGAATAAAGTACTTTTGAAAAATGCCAGCTCCCCAGCGATTAAGGAAATTCTGGTCCTTACAATAGAATGCTCTGCAGTCATTAAAAAGATTACAGTCACTCTGTGTTTTCTGATCTGGAAAGATCTCCTGGACATATTGCTAGAGGGAAAAGAAAGCTGTAGAACAGCTTAATACAGTCCCAGTTTTGCTAGAAAAAAATACAATCTCCACAGTCCAAAAAAGCCCCAGCCATATGTGTTTGTATATATACAGAATATGCAGGGAGAAAGGTGCGGGAGGGTACACACCACGCTGTCAGCAGCAATTAGGATTTGAAGGGGGAATTTACCATTTTACTGTATGTACTTCTAGACTGCTTCCATTTTTACAACAAGCATGAATTACTTGTGAATAATAATAATAATTTTTAAAACCATAAAGAGAGTAGTTTGGTAATATCTATCAAAATTACCAATGCATCTATTTTTATTTCTTCTTTTATTGTGGTAAAATATTCATAACATAAAATTTACCATTTTAACCACCTTTAAGTGTACAGTTCAGAGGCATTAAGTATATTCGCATTGTTGTGCAACCATCACCACCATCCATTCCATAACTTTTTCAACATCCCAAACTGAAACTCAGTTCTGCATATATGTTTTAACCTAGCACTTGCACTGCTAGGAATATACACTACAGATATACTCTGAAAAGCTTGCCAAGGGACCCACACAGCATTGTGTGTACAAACTAACAGCTGAAAAATAATTTGAGTATCCCATAGTGAACTGGTTAAACAAAAGATGGTAAATGCAGCAGAATACTATGCAGTTGAGAAAAAGGAGGTACTATTAGGGAACATCTTCAAGGTATATTGATAGGTGAAGAAAAAAAAGGTACATAATGGAATTATCGTATGTGTTCATTTGTGTAAAAGTAAACAAGTGTTTTGTATAGTAAAATAAAACTAGAATGACCCAGGCTAGATCACTAATAGCTATTACCTTTGGGGAGAAGTAGGAATATTTTTCAAACTTCAAACTGCAAGTCACAACCTGTTGGTAATTATTTTAACAACCAAAATTGAACAGAATAGAAAATACTGCTCTGTGAAACTTTTGTTTCAATATATTCTATGTGTATATATGTTTCCTGAATTGCAATATAAAATGTATTTTTTACCATAGGTCATAGTAAAAAAAAACAAACAAACAAAATCGAAAAACATTTGGATTGTTCATCTGACGTGCAAGTGGGGTTTATTTTCATTATATATGCTTTGAATTGTCAAGGATTTTCTCCTCAAGTTTTCTCAATCTTTTTTTTTTTTTTTTTGGTGAGGAAGATCAGCCCAGTGCTAACATCTGCCAATCCTCCTGTTTTTTATTTTTTATTTTTTTTTGCTGAGGAAGACTGGCCCCAGGCTAACATCCATGCCCATCCTCCTCCACTTTATAGGAGACGCCGCCACAGCATGCCTTGCCAAGCGGTGCGTCGGTGTGCGCCCGGGATCCGAACTGGTGAACCCCGGGCCGCCGCAGCGGAGCACACGCACTTAACCGCTTGCGCTACTGGGCCAGCCCCTCAGGTTTTCTCAATCTTTCGATCCTTTTCAACGAAAAAGAAAAGCAAAAATTTTTAACTAATAAAAAAATATTTTAAAGATTAAAAAAAAAAAGTCATTGTGTCTCAACTAGGGAACCAAGGAGAGAGGGTTTTGTCCAGGTTTGGGTGGGAATTTTGCAGTGAGAACAGCGCCCCCACCCCCAGGAGCTCAGAATGGTCTAAGGGGCTGACTCTCAGGGGGCAGAGCCAGGAGTCCCCCACCAGCCTCCAGGGGCTCATCTCTGCTCTAGTGTTGGCGGGAACCCCTTGTTCACTTGAGAGGGCAGGTGGGTCAGGGCCAGGAAGGAGGTGGGAGGGGCTGGAGGAAGGAAGGGAGCAGGAGGGGGAGGGAGAAGAGGGCTGAGGGGAGGGGGAGGGAAGCCAGAGGGGGATGGGAGGAGAACAGAGGGGGTTGGGGGAAGGGCAGGAGGGCAGGTGGGAACCAGGGTGCGGGCAGGGCACCCACCTGAGTGGATGTGAGCGTGCAGCTTGAGGTAGTGCTCCCGCCGGAAGAGCTTCTTGCACACCTGGCACTTGAACCTGCCCCCACTGCCATGGGTGGGCAAGTGACGCCGCAGGTAGCGCTCGCAAGGAAACACCTTGTAGAAGAGAGGATCGGCTTCAGGTCGACTCACCAGCCCTCACCACCTTCTGAGCTCAACAGGCCCCTTGTTTCCAGCCCCTGTGGAAACACCTTCCTTTCTGCCCTCCAGGGCTCAGGGCCCCCAACGTCAGGCTCAGCCCCGAGAACCCCATGGTTCCCACTACTTACCCATAAGCCCAGTCAAAACATGCCTATTCTGAGTTTCTGCCCAGGCTGTTCTTCTACCTAAAGGGCCTTTCTCTCTTAGTCTGACAAACTCCTACTCATCCTTCAAGACCCAACTCAAGTGTCACTGCTTCTGTGAAGCCCTCCCTGACTCCATGATGCCACGCCAGACAAAGCAAATTCCGCCCTTGAATGTCCACCCAAGTTTTTAAAGTCAGCATTTAACCCACTGAATTATAGTCCTTTGCTTACACGGCATCTCCAAGAGGACAGAGAGGGGCTTTCGTTCCCCAACACAGGGCCTGAGGCAAATGACAGACAAGTAAGGAATGAGTGAAAAAATGAACAAATAACTGAATAACCAAATATCTCCTTCCTGCCCCGTTATACAAAGGGCATTCATTAATTTTTTTCACTCATTTGGTATAGAGAAGTGGTCAAGGGCGCAAACCCAACTGCCCCACTACTTATTAGCACCACCATTTCCTAGCTGAGTGACCTTTCGTGCCTTGGTTTCCCCATCTGTAAAATGGGGATAGTAATACTATGCCTACTCCCAGGATTAAATGAGCCAATTCAGGTAAAATGCTCAGAACAGCATCTGGCACATGGTTCTTGATCAATTGATGATACCTTTTATTTGGACCATAAATTCCAAAGCTCAAAATTAGACTCTATACTTAGAAACATCTCCAAGGAGGCCAGAGTGAAACCAGGGCTGTCCTGGAAAATCTGCCATGTAAGGTTGTAAGAAAATGAGTAGGATAGAGAAACAAGTAAAACACAGCAGGGGGATGCAATCAGCACAATGCAGACTCCGGGAAACTCCACAGGACCAACGGCCCAATTTCTTCGACAAATAAATTGAAAGAAAAAACAAAAGTAGTACTGGAGGGGGCACCTGTAGATTAATAGAAACGTTGGTCGTATCAACCAATTGCAATATATGGACTTGATTCAAACAAACTTTATGAAAATTATGATGCTTCTGAGACAAGTGGAAATTGGAACACTGCCTGAATATTTGGTGATATTAAGGGACAGGCTCTAGTGAGGGCTTCCAGAGTCACTGACAAGAAGAACCAATAATAACAAGGGTAATAACACATCAGGAAGCTGGAGACCGCTGCTCAGTCACTGGGCCTGGGCCCAGGCTGGGCCTCGCCCCCAGCAGCCTGGCCTGGCCTGGCCCAGCAGCAGCCCTGGGATGGCCCACTGGTGTCTGACGGTCAGATGGGCCAGGCAGAGCTCTTACTCTTCGAAGACGAAGTGTGGTCTGTGGAGACAAGCCCAGGCTTTGCCTGCACCACTGAGGTAGGAGGGGAGAAGGAGCTGGTGACGTGTTCGCTCCACCACCTCTCGCCTCCTGCTGTCGGCCTGGCAGGAAAGGGTGGTGGTACCCACCTTTTGGCAGTGCGGGCAGGGGAAGTTGTGAGTGGCGGTCTGCAGATGGTGCTCCAGGGCCTCGGGGGTGGAGTATTTGTTGACGCATTTGACACACCTGAACAGGAAGGAGAAGGAGAAGTAAGAGAGCAGTGTGCTGCGGGAGGGGGGCTGGACACACCCAGCAGGCGCAGGAACCAGCCACTGCCCTCGCCCAGGGCCAACGTTAGGAGGCAAAAATCTTGCATTTAATTCATTCTCGAATCAGTCCACTCTTCGTGCGTGCCACTGCCTCCACCCTAGTCCAAGCTGCCATCGTCTCTCGCTCCGACGTGTGCAGTAGCCTCCTCACCGGCCTCTCTGCCCTCCCTGCCCTTCCACTCCCTGTAGTCCACTCTCCACAGGGGAGCCAGCAGGAGCCTTTAAAAATCAAAATCAGACTTTGTCACACCCTTCTTAGAAGTCCCCACTTGGCCTACAGGCCCCACTGGCCTGACCCACCCCCAGCTCTCAGACTCCATCTTTCCCCACGGCCCACCTCACTCGCTCTGCTCCAGCCACCCTGGCCTCCTTGATGTACCCTGAAGACACCAAGCTCAATCCCACCTCAGGGCCCTTGCACTTGTGTTCCTGTGATCTGGAACACCCTTCCCCAAGTCTTCCCCTGTGCATCACCTTCTCATTCTTCATGTCTCAGTTCAAATGTCACCTCCCTGACCACCCTGTCTCAAGCTGCCACCCACTGCCCACCCCCAGCCACTCCCTACAATGTCACCCAGTTTTATTTTCTTCTTAGCACTTATTATCTAGAATTATTTTATTTATTTGCTTACTTGATTATCATCTGTCTCCTCCACCAGCACGTGGGCTCTGGAGGCAGGGACCATATCTGTCCTGTTCACAACCTACTCTCAGCACCAGTGACAATCTGTTACGTGACAGGCAAGGATCCAGGCCAGGCTCCTTCTCATCTCTGACCCTCAGTTTCCTCATCCATAAAAGGAGATGGGAATCCCAAATGGACTTGTCCCTCGTTCACTCTTAAGATTGTCACAAGAGTCAAAGGACACAACTGCACCAAACAGCTCATAAACCACAAAGCACTATAAACACGGTCTTCACTCTTAACACCACTGCGGCTCACGTGCCTGCAAAACAGCAGATTTAGGTCATAAGCCCCTCTGAAGAAAAGAACCCACCGTCTCCCCACCATGGAAACATTTGCCAGGAAACCGACCCGTTTACGACACAGTCCCCGTGAGGAATGCCACAGGTAGGTGGGCAATTCATGCCAAAAACAGAAACATGGGCCCCACCATCTGTACACCAGAGCCATCACGGGAAAGCCGCAGGCAGGCTGCACCTGTGGCGGGCCCAGGGGACCCCTCAGACCACACACTGAAAACCACAGGCTAAACCCCTCCAGATGGCAGGAAAGAAAGAGGAGGCGGAGCGGGAGCGGAGCTACAAGGAGGGCAGAGACCTCGCAAGCTGGCGGGAAGGAGGGTACGAGCACAGGAAGAGCACAGGCTTCAGTGGGGAAGAAACTAGATTTGTGTGTGAGGTAGTTTAGCAACAACCACGGAAATTAAAACTCTCAGCTAGTGGCATAGCGGTTAAGTTCCCGCGCTCCGCTTCGGTGGCCCGTGATTCGCAGGTTCGGATCCCCGGCACAGACCTACGCACTGCTTATCAAGCCATGCTGTGGCAGGCATCCCACATATAAAGTAGAGGAAGATGGGCACGGATGTTAGCTCAGGGCTAATCTTCCTCACCAAAAAAAAAAAAAAAAAAAAACCTCTCAGCTAGAAATACCACCCTAACTAAGTCATCCAAGGTAACCACCCCAGCAACGGCGCAAACCCACATCATGTGTCTCCTGATATAAGGTGCTGAGAAGGACATGGCGTCCCTCTGTGATATTCCTGCCAAAAGTCCCAATCCTGGTCTAACCTGAGGTCACATCAGACAAACCCAAACCAAGAACATTCCACAAAATAACTGGCCTATACTGTTCAAATATATCAAAGTCACAAAAGACAAAGACAGAATCAGGAACGGTTCCAGCCTAAAGGAGACAAAAGAGACACGACAACTGAAGGCAAAGTGTGATCCTGGATTGGATCCTGGGCCAGAAAAAAACATTTTTTTCTTTGTCTACAAAGCATGTTATTGGAACAACTGGAAATTTTTTAATGAGGTCTGGAGATTAGATAACAGAATTGTATTGAGTTAGCTTCCTGATTTTTATAACTACACCATGCTCATGTAAGAGGTTATCCTTGTGTTTAGAAAACACACACTAAAGAGAAAGAGAGGGCCGGCCCCGTGGCTTAGCGGTTAGGTGCGTGCGCTCCGCTGCTGGTGGCCCAGGTTCAGATCCCGGGCGCACACCGACCCACCACTTCTCCGGCCATGCTGAGGCCGCGTCCCACATACAGCAACTAGAAGGATGTGCAGCTATGACATACAACTATCTACTGGGGCTTTGGGGGAAAAAAATAAATTAATTAAACAAAAATAATAAAAATAAAGGTGAGCACGAGGACAGGCAGAGGAACAAGGAGAAAGATTGTGCTCACCCACCTTTAAAAAAAATAAAAAAAATAAAGAGAAAGGGAAAAAGAACATCATGCCTGCAAATTATTCTCAAATAGCTCAGAATATGATAAAGCAAATGTGGTAAAAAGTTAACATCTGGGTGAAGGGTATATGTGGGAATTCTTTGTACTATTATTGCACCTTTTCTGGAAGTCTGAAATTATGTCAAAATAAGTTTAAAAAGAACATTTCCTGAAAGCGATTGCCCGTGGGATGTGGAAGGGGGTCGGGGTGGACAGGGAATTCATTTTCACTCTATGCCCTTTGGTAGTTTTCAAATATTGCATTGTATGCATATAACAACTATTTTTTGAAGTGAGTAATTAATCTTTTTAAGACTCCCCTTTGATCTTTGACCTGCAAAATCACTTCTAGGAACTTATTTACCAATGCGCAAAGATGTATGTCCACAGTCGTTCCCTGCAGCGATGTTGGTAATAATGAAACACAGGAAATAAACCGGCTGTCCCCAAGCAAGGGACGGGTTGAATAAATTACAGCACGTCCCATACACGGGAATACTAAGTAGCTGTTTAAGAGGAAGAGGCAGGTCTGTTTGTGCTGAAATGCAAAGATATCCATATCATAGCTTCAAGCGCAACAGTTTTAAGTGATAACACCAGGTGCACAGAGTGATCCTATTAAGTTTCAATCTGTTTTCAGAAGTTGTTGGGCCGGCCCCGTGGCTTAGTGGTTAAGGCGGCCCGGGTTCGGATCCCGGGCGCTCACCGACACACCGCTTCTCCGGCCATGCTGAGGCCGCGTCCCACATACAGCAACTAGAAGGATGTGCAACTATGACATACAACTGTCTACTGGGGCTTTGGGGGAAAAAAATAAATAAATAAAATTATTTAAAAAAAAGAAGTTGTGCGATGGGAAGATGGTGTGATGAACTGTCACCAAATTCAGTGACTGTGTTTGGGATGACCTGACTCAAATATAGCCTGTGATATTTATCTCTCTATCCGTATCTGTAAACATGCTTATTACAGATATATACCAAAGGACAGGCATCAAGAGATTAACAGGGGTTATCTTGGGTGGCAGGGTTTTGTTTTTAGTTTTTGTGTGAGTCTTGTAAAAATCCTTTTCTCTGCATTGAACATGGATGACTTTTGTAATTAGAAAAAAAATCAATAAATCTTATTTCTAAATGGAATAAGTAAATATACAGCACATATATAGTGACATGCATGACATTCACTTGACAGGTTTGGGGAGGCACCATGGGCAGGTAAGGCAATGTGACCCAAAGGGAGCAGAGCAGCTAGACTGACGGGGCCTGGCTCCCTGAAAATGGGAAGAAGCCACCACACCTGCTCAAATGTTACCCTGAGAGAGAATAAACTCTCACCTTGTTTAAGCCACTGTTATTTTGGGTCTCTGTTGCAAGCAGCTAAACCTATATCTAAATTATACAAATAATAAAAATTGCAGCATTAATATTTATTAAGTACTTATTATGTTCCAGGCACCATGTCTAAGTGCCTTATACTAGTCTTACATGATTCTTATAAAAAATCCAACAGGGTAGACACTATTGTATCCCCATCTCACAGATGAAGAAACTGAGGCTCAGAGTGGCTGAATACCTTGCCAAGGTCATCCATCAGGTACGCAGTAGAGCTGAGATTTGAGCACAGGCAGGTGTCCACAGAGCCCTTATCATTACCCAGGACACCATTAAACCCTGAGGCCATCCAGATGGTGGCCTGCCTCCCTGCTTACTTTCGGGCCAGCAGCTCCAACAGCTACGAAGGGCCACTGCCACTCTAACCTTGGCGAGAGAACCTGGGAGAAGTTATTGACTAAGGGAACAGGGCCTTCAGCATTGGGCTCAACTCTCAGCTTGCAAACTCCAAGACCAGAGCTATGAGGCTTCCAAGATCCTAGACCAGAGTCTGAATCCCAGCTCTCTGCTGACATTATTATTCTGGTGGGCAGGTCACTTCTCCTCTGTGAAGCTCAGTGTCTTCATCTTCAAAATGGGGATAACACCACTGCTAGGGACTAAACTGTGTCCCTCCAAAATTCATATGTGGAAGCTCTGACCCTTGATGCGATGGTATTAGGAGGTGGGGCCTTTGGGAGGTGGTTAGGTTTAGGTGACATCATGACAGTAGGGTTCTCACGATGAGATTAGTGCCCTTATAAGAAAAGACCAGAGAGAGAGGGCGCCCTCTCTCTCTCACGTGCCTATGGTATTTTGTATAGCAGCCCGAGCTGACTGATACAACCTGCCTCCCAGGACTGCAGGGATCAATGTCCCTAAGTCAGAGCTTGGCCCATGGTGGGTGCTCCCTTCCTTTTACTTGGCATCTCACTCCAGAGAGCCACAAGAACTCACAGATAATCCACAGATTGAAAGGGCAAAAGCAAAAGAAAATGCCCTCTGAGTACAAATGGGAATTATTCATCATTAACCAGAAATCTCCATCCCTTGGCTGATCAAAGCCTCACCTGGCTTTCCTGCCTCTCTGGGCCCATCTCCCAATTTCCCCCCCAGGCCCCATCTCAACAACCCCTTCTACTTCCACTCTACACAACAGTTCTTCTAAACCACTGGCTATTTTATTTTATATTTCTACACTTGTTGTTCCTCCTAAGAATGCATTCCACCCTACCCACTATGTCCCTAGCAAACTCCTACTCATCCTTCAAACCCCAGTTCAGATATCACTGCTCCTGGGACACCTTCCCTGCCCTACCTCCCACTGTGGTACATCTATACCTTATATACATATCTATGGTAGCATTTTATCACAGTTATGGTAAGAATATTTACACACCTGTCTCCCTAAGCAGCCCATGAATTTTAAACTCAAGGTCTGTATGTATTTATCCCTGAACCCCCAGAAGCCTCACTCAGGAGTTACAGGGGGGCCCCATTAACAGAGGTCATCAGCCAAGTCCCTGCAGGTATAAGTTTGTACAGAGAAGCAAAAGCCATTCTAACATGAAAATACCCACTAATGAACTGAAAGGAGTCCCCAGACGAACACCCCTCCTTGTTTTTCACTAATATCTATCCCCATGCACTCTGTGCTGGGCTTCGTGGGGCAGATGCGCAGCAGAATGAGTGCAGGGCAAAGGTGTGGGATTTCACAGAAAGTGAGGTTGGATATCTGCACATAATACCATCGACAAAGGAGAGTCTGGAAGAGGGACCGAGAACAATCCAGGAAGAGAAACTCGACAAGGATGATCACAGGATCGATAGCTCCAGACAGAGTGATTTGAAGATCTAAGGATTAAAAGCATGTGGCAAAACTGAGGGAGCCTTCATCACTTCTGCCAAAGGGACCCCCTATATGCCCGCAACAGAAGACTAAAGCGATGTGAAGGACTGTCAGAAAAAAGTACCCCCAGGGCCGGCCCCGTGGCTTGGTGGTTAAGTGCGCGCGCTCCGATGCTGGTGGCCCGGGTTCGGATCCCGGGCGCGCACCGAGGCACCACTTCTCCGTCCATCCTGAGGCCGAGTCCCACATACAGCAACTAGAAGGATGTGCACCTATGACATACAACTATCTACTGGGGCTTTGGGGGGAAAAAATAAATAAATAAAATCTTTAAAAAAAAAAAAAGAAAAAAGTACCCCCCAAAAAATCTACACTTGATTCAATTCTGGTTCATTCTAAGAATCAGCGTATAGCTTCAACTTTAACTTAAATTTTATAGATTATGAACATGAATCTTATTTTTATGATTTTTGCTTTCAAATATGTGCATGCTCATTCTTTTTGCATTCTAAGAATCAGTGTACGATTCCAACTGTAACCAAAATTTTGTAGATTATCAGACAAAATAATATTTTCATAATACTTTTAGTTTAGAAAAAAATCAAATCTATTTTCCACTAGGAACGAGAAAAGACTGGCTTCCCTTTTTTAGGATTTTTTTTTTTTAGGATAAATGTCTGCCAAGTTGAAGGATGATAAAAGGGCCAGCATCTTTTCCCCCACCAGTGCCGAGGCCCAGAACCCACTCTTCCAGGCTGGACCCCGGCCTGGAGCCTCAGTTTCCCCTGTGAGGTGTCGCACTGGTCCTGCGCAGTCAGAAGCACCCAGGCCGCACCCCGGGGGCGCCCTGCGGAGGGAGGGAGACGCGAGGGCACGCACTTGTAGACGGCGCTGCCCTTCTTGGGGCTGTGCTGCGGCAGGAGGCTGTGGGAGTACTGGTGCACGCCCAGGTCGTACAGCGACGGGAAATCCTTGCCGCAGAGGTGGCAGCGGTAGCTCAGCTCCTCCTGGTGGCTCTTGATGTGCTCCAGAAACGCGTCGAGCTTCGGGAACGTCTGGGCACAGCTTTTGACCACACACTTGTACACCTGGAGGGAAGACGTGGGGCAGGTGAGCGGAGGCAGGAGAGCTGCCTGCACTGCCCCCCCGCCCTGTGGCACCACCCTGAACACGGCTGGTGGACCACCCAACCGCTCTCCCCCTGCTCCCCTGCTGCTGGAGCCCCAGTTTTATTTTGATTAGAGGGTCCTCTCCTCTCAGCCAGTCACAATGGCCTCATGACCCTTCCCTCAGGCTCTGTGTGGCCTGGGTATACTTAGAAAATTACCCAAACCTAGAAACACAGTGAAAAGATGACATCGTGTCCTTCCAATGTCATGCTGGAGCAGTGGCTCTCCAGCTTGAGTGCGCACCACAGTAACAGATCGCGGGGCACCACCCCCAGAGCACCCCATTCAGCAGGTCCGGGCAGCCCGAACACTATGCCCATCCTAACAAGCGCCCGTGATGCTGAAGCTGCTGGGCCGGGGACCTCACTTTGAGAACTGCTGTCCAACCAGCCTGCCCATGGTCATCTCACTCTCTGAGGGATGCAGCTTGTTCTGACTATTTACCATTGATGAGGATCCAGACTCTAAAGTTAACCACTACTAACCGTAGAAAACTGATTGATGTAAACGACTTTTGTCAGGTAGAAAGGATAACTCCAAAGGTCACGGGTTGTGTTGCCCTGTAGCACATCAACCAGATTTGTATCTAACTTAGCAATCTTATTTCAGTATTCCTTTTTTCACTGACATAGTTATATATAGGTATAAATATCAGTGTCTCATATCCTCTTTGAACTGGCTTTGTCATCCTTCCAATTCCCTCACTAATGAGTTATGCAAAATTCTGACTCACGTTCACTATGTTATTTGTATGAGAATTATGCTTTTAACATTTTGAAAATTATACTCTGACAAGTGATACACACTCCTGGTTGCCTACACGATTCCACACGTTCCTTCTTCCTAACAAAGTGAACCCTGATTTGCTCAGGGTGGCAACATGCCCAGTTAAAACACTTGATCCTCCTGGCTCCCTTGCATCTAGTGTCAGCCACATGACTCCTTTCTTGCCAATGATATAGAGGTAGTAGTCTTTAAGGAAGGCATCACTCCCAGAACAAAAAGGCAAAAGCTTCCTGGGAGAAATCCCCTCTGCTTTTTGCATTTGTCCTGACTGGAATACAGATGTGATGGCTAGAGATATAGTAGCCATCCTGCAACCTTGAGAGCTACTTGCTAAGGATGGCAGAACAGAAGCCAGAAGAAGCCTGAGTCCATGATGACACACCGGACCTGCTACAAAAGCGCAACACTGCCTACTTACGGACTTCTTGGGAAAGAAATAAAACTCTAACTGATAAGCCAGTTTTATACTATTTGCAGCAAAATATATATTCCTAAATGATAGGGCACACGCACTGGCTCTGACCCATGAGACAGCCACAGAGGGCTTCTGGGAAGGTTTCCTTACTCCTAAAAACGACACAGAGGGTGGCCCTGCAGCCTAGTGGTTAAGTTTGGCCTGCTCCGCTTTGGCAGCCCGGGTTCGGTTCCCAGTGTGGACTTACACCACTTGGCAACAGCCATGCTGTGGCAACGACCCACATATAAAATAGAGGAAGAGTGGCAGAGATCTTAGCTCAGGGAGAATCTTCCTCAGCCAAAAAAAAAAAAGACACAGAAAAGATAACCCCCTTTTGCTCATGGATAATACTGTGTCTAGACTGCTGCCTAGAAAGAGTGACCACCACCCCAGGACCACAGGTGAGCCATCAGCAGAGGACAAGGCCACACCTGAGATGGCGGAGACAAGAGCTGGAAAGACACAGGGTCCTTGATGCTGGGTTGAGTCAACTGACTACCTCAGGCCCAGAGCTGCCCTATCTTGAGTTTTCTTCTTCTGTGAGAAGACAAACTTCCGAATTGTTTAAGCTAGCCTGAGTCAAAGTTTTCTGTGATTTTCCCCAAGGATATCCTAACTTAATTCCATCAGTGCCCCTGCTATGAATCTATTATAAGGAAAAAGTCAGAGATGTGGACAAAGATTTGACTGCAATGATGCTCACCATAGTTTTGTTTATAATAGCAAAACTCAGAAAATCACCTAAATTTTCAACAATAGGGGATTTTTTAAAAAGGTAGCCATTAAAAATTATGTTTTTTAAAGCAATAGAGACATGAGAAAATGCTCAGAATATAAAATTAGGTTAAAAAATAGAAAGCACAAATCTCAAAAAAGAATTTACGCTGAGTGAAAGAAAGCCAATCTCAAAAGGCCACATACTGGATGATTCCATTTATACAACATTCTCAAAATGATAAACTTGTAAAGATGGAGAACAGATTAATGGTTTCCAGAGGCTAAGTATGTTGATGGTGCGGGAGGGTGGGTGTGACTAATAAGGGGCAGCATGAGGGACCATGATTGCAGTGGTGGCTCCACAAATCCACACAGGTGATAAAATGACGTAAAACCACACATGCACTTTATACCAAGGTCAGTGTCCTGCTTTTGGTATTGAGCTATAGTTAGGTAAAATGTAACCACTGAGGGAAACTGATCGAATGGTATAAGGAACCTCTCTGTACCATCTTTGCAACTTCCTGTGAGTCTATAATTCTTTCAAAATAAAAAGTTAATAAAAAAGCTATCTCAAAAACAAAGCACAATTTAGAATTACGTGTGTATACAGATCCCAATTAGAATTTAAAGAAAAACACAGAAACTCCACAAAAGATACTAGATTTTGTGCTGCATTACTGGGAGGACACATTGCAAGGTGGTTAATGACGTGGGGTCTGGAATCAAACAAATGTGGCTTTGAACCCTGACTCAGTCACTGCCTGGCAGTGTGACTGTGGAGGGGTCATTTCACCCCTCTGAGCCTCAGTTTCTTCATCTGGATATACTGAAAATGCCTATCTCTAAGGTTGTTATGAGGATTAAATAAAATATTGAATGTAAAGCACTTAGCAGGGTGCCAGGCATATAATAAATAACAAATGTTAACCTATACATTCCCTAGACTTTTCTTTTCTTTTTTTTTTTTTTTTGTGAGCAAGATTAGCACTGAGCTAACATCTGTTGCCAATCCTCCTCTTTTTGCTGAGGAAGATTGGCCCTGGGCTAACATCGGTGCCCATCTTCCTCTACTTTATATGTGGGACACCTGCCACAGCGTGGCTTGATAAGCAGTGTGCAGGTCCATGCCCAAGATCTGAACCCGTGAATCTCAGGCCACTGAAGTGTAGTGCGTGAACTTAACCACTACACCACTGGGCCGGCCCTTTAGACTTTTCTGAATTTTTAAATTTTATATTGGGTATATGATACATTTATAAGGAGAAAAAAAATAACAATAAATGTTATTGTAAAAAATAAAGAGTGGAACAGAGTTACCATATAGCCAGCAATTCCACTTTAAGGTTTATACCCAAGGAATTGAAAACATATGTTCCTACAAAAACCTGTACATGAACGTCCATAATAGCATTATTCACGATAGCCAAAAAACAGAAACAACCCAAATGTCTACTAACTGATGAAAGGATAAACAAAATGTGCTATATCCATACAATGGAATACTATTCTGCCATAAAAAGGAATAAAGTACTGATACATGCTACAACATGGATGAACCTTAAAAATATTACATCAAAAGGCCATATACAGTATGATTCCATTTATATTAAATGTTCAGTATAAGCAAATCCATAGAAACAGAAAATAGATTTGTGGTTATCAGGCTGGGGGCAGGGGGGAGTGACTCCTAACAGGTACCGGGTTTCATTTTGAGGTGATGAAAATGTTCTAGAATTAGATAGTGGTGATGGCTGCACAACCTTATGAATATACTAAAAACCACTTAAATGTACACTTTAAAAGGGGTGAATTTTATGGTATGTGAATTATATCTCAATTAAAAAAAAAAGACCGTAGTCCTAAATCCCCATAGGTAGGTTTTTAGACATTAGATCTTCTCAGGGTATTAAGAATTTTTCCTGTGTCTCATTCCTTCATTAGATGACCCTCGAGAGATGGGCTTCCTCCCCTAGGCTAGCACTATAGTGGAGCAGTAAGCTGGCCCCACCCAGGCAGAATAAAGGCGGAAGGTTGGCCCATCATGGGTGGTTAGATTGTAGCTCAGAGCAACTGAGGGCCACTCCTGTCCCTTTCCAGGCCGTGTTCAAGACCTCGGCACCAGCCAAGGCTCATGACTAGGGTGGCTGTGGCCCCCTCACTGCCCGCCACCCACCTACCTGCTCGTCCTTATGCTGGGTCATGTGGGACTTGAGCTGGAAGTAGGTGCTGAACTTGCTGGGGCAGAACTGGCACAGGTAGGAGCTATCGATGAGGACCACCTGCTTGGCCTCCAGCTTGTCCCCCTCATCCTCGCCGGCTGTGGGCAAGGCCTGGGGCTGCGGGGCGCTTGATAGGGGCGGACCCAACTCTGTGGGGAAAGTCAGGGAGGGGAGGCAGTGAGAAGGACAGAGGAAGAGTCAGGACAGAGAGCCACGCCGTTCGGGAAGGATCCACGGAGCCCCTCCTGCGTGCTCCGCCGCGTTCACCCCCACCTAGCTCAGGCCTGATGTCGGACACTGTACTCAAGACACTGCACTCACATTCAGCTGGTGTGAACTGATACAGCCATTCCAGGTGCTAAAATACCGAAATACTTACATTCCGACTGATGAAAAGCTATTGCCTCAAGTCTCCCCTCCCTGGCCTTCCCCTCGGACACTCCAGATCTTTCCACGGTTGTTAAAAATCCTGAACGCCACTTCTAGCTGTATTCACCAGGCCTCCCCAGCTCCTTGTTCGAATTACAATCATTTGTTTCGTTGCTCTTCCCTCACACTCCCTGAGGACAGCGGCCTGGCACATAGTAGGCCTCCACAAATGTTTGCGAAATGATTGAACCCTTGGTGCTAAGTGCTGCAGGAGTTTCGAAAGAAATGGAAGAAATGGTTTCTTCTCCAAGGAACTCACAAAAACTCAGAGGGCACACACAGAATGGCTAAACACACAGCAGGACTAGTTCCAACAGGGGGTTCATATAGAAGTGGCCATATGTTGCTTGTGCAGCAAAACACTCCCTTCCTTAGCATGTATGTGACAGGCGTTGCTCACCTATGGGGCTGCCCAGGAAGGCCCCGGCCTTACACTGTCCAGCAGAGTGGCCACGAGCCACACGTGGTGACTCAGAACTCAAAATACAGCCAGTCCAAATCCAGATGTGCCATAAATGGAAAGATATCCTAGATTTCAGAAACTTAGCACAAAAAAAGAATGTAAAATATCTCATTAATAATTTCTTCATATTACATGTTAAAATTATATTAATATATAGCATTAAATATATGATTAACATTAATTTCACCCTTTTTTTTTTTTTACTGTTTTTATGTAGCTATTAGGAAATTTTAAACTGTATATGTTGCTCATATTATAATTTTGTTGGACAGCACTGCTCTAGGCCTAGAAGTCCTCAACTCCCATGCAGGAGAGGAATTAAACCACTATCAGGGACAGGATCATTAGCTCAGGGGCAAGTGATGGCCCAGATGACAACCCTACAAACTATAAAGGGTTTTGGAGACCATCTGCCCACAAAGGCCAAATAGGTTTTTCTGATCAACTGATGGTGACTGCCTAGATTGATAAATTGAAAATAGATTTTGAGGCAAGATGCAGGCTCACCAAAAAAGACAGGTGATTGATTAGTGATGTCTGTCATGGGTATAGTATTAGAATAATGCCACACATATTAGATATTTGTCATTCCTCCTTTCATCTTATGCCCCATTTGGTAGATAAAGTAGACTGAATCTCAGAGAGGTCAAGGAAGTTGCCCAAGGTCACAGAGCCAGCAATAAAACTCGTTAAACTGCAGAGGAGAGGTGTGGAGAGAGTGGCATTCCCCATTTCCACCCACCTGTGCTCTCCTCGTCCTCCTGCCTGCTGGGGTTCAGGGCCATGACCTGTACAGTCACAGAGTTGCGAGAGACGGTGCCACCACTGCGCCCCGGAGGCCACACCTTGTGAGTCTGCATGTGTTTCTTGACATTAGACTTCTGGGCAAAGGCACGGCCACATGCAATGCACTGGAAGGGCTTCTCACCAGTGTGGCTGTGGGAACAAGGCTTGTTAGCACCCTCGAGTAGGAATGGAGATGTGACCATAGCCCAGGAGCTCATGACACCAGGAAGTCCCAGACAGAGCATCCAGATGCTGCTGGCCACCATTCTGACACCATAAGGACAAGACCTCTTGCTGAGGCAGGCAGACCAGAGACAGAAAGACCCTGTGCTCTTGGTAACATTACTGAGCTGCTGAATCAACCAGCCCTAGAGCTGACCTTGTCTATGGCCATCTCATACTCTGAGATAGAACATTTCCTAATTGTTTAAGCTCATTTAAAGAGATATTTCTATTATTTGAAGGAGAAAACATCCTAACTGTTGCAGCACAGTGCTTGTACCATTATTTAATACTTTCCTTCAAATCAATTCTGGTTTTTTTGTTTTGTTTTATTTTGATTTTCTGAGGAAGATTCGCCCTGAGCTAACATCTGTTGCCAATCTTCCTCTTTTTTTGCTTGAGGAAGATTAGCCCTGAGCTAAGATCTGTGCCGGTCTTCCTCTACTTTGTATGTGGGTCACTGCCACAACATGGCTGACAAGTGTTGTAGGTCCGTACCTAGGCTCTGAACCTGCGAACTCTGGCTGCCGACACAGAGCGCACGAACTTAACCGCTATACCAGGGGGCTGGCCCCTTAATTCTGTTTTAAAACTTAACATACTTTAAAATGAAGCTTCTTATTGTATGTGGAAAACCACTTGTCATAAACACAAAGTACCCAAAAAATGTAATAATTTATAAAATAATAGTATTACGATCCAGAGCTGCACTATCCAATAAGGTAGACACAGGCCACGTGGACTATTTAAATGTAAATTTATTAAAATAAAATAAAATGAAAAACTCAGTTTCTCAATCATACTAGCCACACTTCAAGTACTCAATAGCCATGTGTAGTTAGTGGCTACCCTATTGGACAATGCCATTTGGGGGCATTTTCATCTCTGCAGAAAGTTCTGTGGGACAGCACTAGTGTAGACCAGTGGTCCTCAACCGAGATCGATTCTGCCCTCTCGGGGACACACGGCGATGTCTGGAGACATTTTGGTTGTCACAGCTGAGGGAGGAGGGGTGCTATCAGCATCTAATGGTTAGAGGTCAGGGAAGCTGCTAAACATTCTACCAGGCACAGGTCAGGCCCCCCAGGAAGGAATAATGTGATCTGAAGTGCCAACGGTGCCCAGGTTGAGAAACCCTGGTCTAGAGAAAAGCCACTGCCTGCTGCAGTCAGCATATGAGTCTTTCCCTCTCTTTTCTCTCTCTCTGTCCCGGGCCCCCCACCCCCCACAAAAGACGAGCAAGCCTGTGAGAGCTGTTAAGAGCGACTAGCACCAAAATGAGGCTTTCTCCTTTGAATCTCCAAGGACTGAAAGAAATTGAAGAGAATAACATGCTCACTATATCTTTCAGAACTTTTCAACACGACATCCACAAACCACCTAAAACCACATCACGTACCAATGTACGCCACTCTGTGAGAAACCCTGGACAAGTCCACCCTCCACTTCACGAGGGGAAACCTGAGGCCCACAGGGGCTCCTTGCATGTTCTTGGGACAGGCGGTATCACAGTTAGTCCTGAGTGAGCAGAGAGCTCGCAGAGTCACATGCCCAGAGCATGGCAGCCCTTGAGGTCAGCCCTTTCTGCAGAGGTGAGGACTGAGGCACCCCTTACAAGGCACCCCTTGTAAGGCAGGCCTTACAAGCCTGCAAAGCCCCCATCAGTTCAAGTGCATTTCTCCCCGCCCCTCGCCCTGCTCGGACCTTCCCCATCATAGTGGGCAGGCCCCACAGCTTTCACAGATCCCATCACTGCTCCTGAAAGACAAGAGGAAAAACCCTCCTGACCTGGACAGGAGGTCTGAGAATCATGACAGGACAGATGGGGCCTTGATCACCACTTGAGCCAGGAAGCTGAGAAGGGAGCCTTGCTTCACTGTGGATGGCCCCCCAGCAAAGGCTGCCCAGAGCCACCTGCCCCACCATGTCTGGGTACCTTCGAATGTGCTGCTGCAGGTCAAAGTTTTTGGTGAATGACTTGTCACAGTACGAGCACTTGAGTTTCTGAGCCTTTGGCTTCCCCGCAGCTGAAAGACAAGGTGTGAGGAGGGGGTCGTGAGGCCAGGGTACAAGTGAGGGCGCCGAGGGCAGCCGCCAGCCACTCCACCTCCTGGACCTGGGACCAGACAGCCCAGACCCTAGGAGGTCTACACCCAGGGACAGGCAGGGGAGGAAGCCCAGGGAAGTCTCTCACAGTGCCCAGGGGAGGAGAACCAGGACATGCTCCGGCTGGGAGAGTAGGGCAAGCTCCTCAAAGGCTGCCCTCTGCGCTGGGATAAATGCAGCCTCCCTGCTGCGGCCCAGAGGGCTCTGCACCCTCTGCTTCCTGCCAACTCCATCATTCTCTCCACTCAGCTGCAGTGCCACTTGCTAACCCTGAAAGACCTCAAACACGGTCCCCCTCAGGGCCTCTGAACCTGCTGTTCCCCCCTGCCTGGCCTGGCCCTCACATATCCACAAGGCTGTTTCCTTCTCATCCCCAGACGGATAGGGAGCATCATTTTCCAGCCTGTCCCCAGTATTCTCAATCATAGGACCCTGTTAATCTCCTCCCTAGAATAACTCGTAAATATTGATTTATTCTGTCTGTCTCTCCAATTAAACTGTGAGTAACTAAGGGTAGGAAAGTCATGGACCAAGACGCTGGATCCAGTGTCTGACACTGAGCCTGGCACACAGATGCTCAACATGTACGTGTGAAAGGAAGGCTGACCGGAAAGCCCCTGAAAAGTTCTCGATTTCTCTGCCCTTCCCCACTACCACCACTTTCTGGCACTGCCCCCACTCCCATACTTAGCATCTCTGAAAGGCTGCTTGCCTGCCTAATATGCACTCTCCCCTTCTCCTTTCTTCACAAATCCCCTAAATAATGGGAACATCAATGTTCCTGATTAAAAGAGACGTTTCCCAGCTTCCTTTGCAGCTAGATATGGTCATATGACTAAGTTTTGACCAATGAGATGTAAGCAAAAGTATACAGAACTTCTGGAAGCTGGGACACACTCCTTTTCTCCTTCTTACTGCCCAGAATACGAAATTGATGACTGGAGCTCCAGCAGCCATCTTACACAATGAGGCACCCTAACAACAGAAGCCATGCTCTAGGGGTGGCAGAACAGCAAGACAGAAGAAATGTGGATGACTGGTGACCAGACAGGCACAGGATCTCCAGACTGTCTACCTCTGGTCTTGTTTTGAACAGAAGAAAAACAAAATTCTATCATTTTGAAGTCACTCTTATTTTGGATTTTCCATCACATGCAACCAAACTTAATCCGAACCATCATAAAAGAGAAAACCAGAACTAAACAGCCTGTGGCTAGGCCAATACTGTGGAAAAGATGCCCATGGCAGGTTGCTGGCCCACCTTCTGGGAGTCCACTGGCACCTTTGACCCGTCGGGTCTTCAGTGCTGGCGGGGAGTCAAAGGTGGCCACTGTGCCCCCGGTGGCGCTGGTCATGGGGGCAGCAGGGTTTGGTCCTTTCGGTTTGAATCCCTGTTTTCCGGGGCTGTATACCGGGGGCGTGGGGTACACTGGAGCCTCCACACACTGGTTCGGCACCTAGAAGGACAGCACAGTCAGGGAGAGAGCCCTGAGAAGGGCAAGGAAGAGCTGCCCCAGCCAGGGGTACCCTCACGGTGGCCCTGGCTTATGTCGGCCACTCCCCACCTACATCCCCATCCTAACTCCCCCACAGCTCAGTCACCCCAGCACTGCCAAGAGTCCTTAGAACTTCAGGAAGCCAGCAGGCTAGAAGCAGCCTGTCTGGGTTCAAATCCTGACTGCCACTTACCACCTAAGTGACCTTGGGCAAGCCTTTTAACTTCGGTCTCAGCCTCCACATCTGTAAAATGTGGCCAATCACCGTATCCCTCTCGCTGGGTTGTTGTGAGGATTAAATCAGTTAACATGTAGAGAGCTTAGAACAGTGCCTGGCACAGAGTAAGCACTCAACAAACATCAGCTGTTGTTATCGCCATTACTATTGCTGTTAGTTGTAGTCTGTTAGCACAGGAGAACCAGGAAGTCAGGAAGGTCTGTGCCCTCACTAGTGACTCCACCTGACGCCACACCAGCAGGCATCCTGCAACTGAGAATTGACAGGGCAGCCACAAGAAATGACCGAATGAATTCTCAGCCACTCAAATTCAGTTGACACTAAGCTTATATCGTGACACTGGGGCACTGTGAAGACTCGATTTATTCATCCACCTGTTCATGATTCATTGGTCTTCCCAGACTAGCCTATCCACGATTTCACTTCCTATCCTTCTGTTTTATTTTTCTCCTTAGACTTCTCATTAGCTAATAAATTATGTATTTTACTTTCTTATCTTGTCTATTATCTGCCTGGTTCCACTTTTCTTTACTGCCCCACTCCAGGCCTAGAGCAATGCTTGGCAGAGTGGGTACTCAGTCAGTATTTGTTGAATGAATGAGTTCAGTTATACACGTACTGGGCATCTGATATGGCACCCGTAGGTGCTTCTGCCAAATCGTGTCTGGGCACCATTTCTACACCCTTCCATGCTCTCTCTGAAATGCAGGGGTGGGAAGCTTGGAACCATATGCCCAGATTCCCTTGCCAGCATGGTTCTGAACACAGATAGATTCTGCCCATGAGAAGCATCTGCATGAGATCCGGAAGGCAGAAGGGAGGTAGAAGCTGTTCTCCTCAGGCAGCCATGGAGGGAGACAGATGGGTTTGCAGTCATGAGTTCTGGAGGGGCTGGCTGAACTCTACATTCCCCTCCTGACCAGCAGCCGGAGGACAGCAGGGAAGCTAGAACATCAGCAAGAGAATCCTACAGTTTCCTCACCTCTGGGCGCAGGAGCAGCGTCCTGGCTCTCCAGGTCAAGCTATGACAGCGAACCTGAAAACCAGGGGAGCCTGCCAACCCTGCCTCTTGCTCCCCTAGCCCTTCCATAACTTTGTAAGCACCTAACTTCCTGTATTAAATCCCTCTGCCAGAAATACCTAGAGTGGTCTCTATTTTCCTGACTGATACAGCACTCAATAAATATTTGTCACATGCATGAATTCACCTGTCATTCAAAGTCATTTCTGAGCAATTATGTGACAGCAATTACCCTCGTCAGCTCTGCAAGGGGAGTTCCCATTTTAGAGGGAAGGAAACTGAGGTCAGAGGGCCCTATCTCAGATACCTATTACAGGTGTCTCGCAGGGCAGGTACTCTGCTAGGACACAAAGCCCAAGACGACTCAGGCTCTGCCCTCAAAGAGGACCCTCATCCACGTGGAAAAGAAACAACGGCAGCTCCCCCTGTGCTGGTCCTCTCTGCCTAGCAGGCCACCAGCGTCCTCTCAGCATCTCACTAACTTCATTTTTTTCTAATTCAATGAAGTCTTTAGGGAAGCTTGCTTTATTCTCCCAGGCCAGGGCAAATCCCCTCACAGGATCTCATAACATCACGCAGTTGGTGGTGGGATTTTCCCACTGGTCTGGTTCTCCTCACATAGAGATGCCACCTGACATGGGATGTTTGTATAGCCAGATTCTAGGGTGAGTCAGGGTTAATGTGACCACAAGTGCAGGTGTCTGGGAAGGTTCTATGAACTCTCAGCGCCTTGAGAGTAGACTGTAGCTCAGAACTCCTCAGCTGGGAATTAGTATGGTGCATATGGCACACTGATTGCATAACGGCCTCAATTCTATACTTCTCCCCATACCCACGCCCTGGGCAGTGTGACTTGGCAGCTTTTCCCATCAAGAGGAGGAGTCTATTTCCCTACTCCTTAAATCTAAGCTGGCCTTGTGACCTGCTTTGACCAAGAAAAGTAACACTGTGTCAGTTACAAGTCTAAGCCTCAAGAGGCCTTGAGCATTTCTGCTCGCATTACTGCGCCTCCAGCACTGCTGCAAGGATACACCTGGCTAACCTGCTGGAGGATGAGATGCATGGAGCAGAGCTGGGTCACCCCACTCGACCCGCCCCAGACCATCCTAGAGCAGCCGACAGCCAACTATCTCCAGACACACAGGAGAGCCCAACCAAGACAGCAGTTGCCAAGCTGGCATCGTAGACATGAGGACATAAACACTTTTTGCTATATATCACGGAGGTTTTGTGGATATTTCTTACACAGCCATAGCTAACCAATATACCTAGCTTGTTAAAAAATATAAGAGACACTCACATAGATAATTTTTTGGAATCCTCTCCCCAAAAGGCAAGTATTCTCCGACCGAGCACTCCCTGAGGGTGGCTTGTATTTCTGCAACAAACTCCACTGCCTACCACCTTCTCCCGGTTTACATTTTACATTTACAGGCTTGACGGCTTGACTGAAGTCCTTCTCTCTGATGATGTGGCACACTCCCTGATCTGGTTTTGCCCCCATGGTATCTCAGCACGGTGTCTAGCACACAGTTGGTGCTCATGGAAGGTTCAGGTTACCCACGATGACCACGACCAGCTTCTTCCCCTCCACCTCCGACCCCCGCCTCTGCTCACCTCCAGGGGTGGGTAGGGCTGCATTCCCAGCGCCTGGATCTCCACCGTCCCACTCCCAGCCAGGGGTGCCGTGGCACTGTACACCTCCACCACGCCATTCCCACCAGGGTTGGGACGCCCGGGGGGGCCCAGGCTCTGGGGTGGGGGTGGCGGAGGCTGGGGGGGTGGGGGTGGGGGCAGTGGTGGAGGCGGTGGAGGAGGTGGTGGAGGCTGGGTGAGGTAGCTGGGCGCAGAATGCATGTTCAGGTTGCTCTGAAATCAGAAGAGAAAATTAAAGTGATCATAGCCTCTTGATACCAGCTGTCTTGTTTATCAAAGAGGAAGGATATTTGCCTTAGCCAGTCACGTGGCAGGAACAGCCCCTCACAAGGTAGCTCAGAGGATGGGGCTGAGAGAGGACACGGGAGCAAAGGCCTGGGAGAATTCAGAGGCATCAGCCTGGTGCTGCTACCCCTTTTCTCTACGAAAGTCAGCAACAATGGCCCAAGTGGACAGGTAAGAGTTCATACAGCAGGCCTGACGCTGTCTTTTGAAGGGCCTGCTTATAGGACGGGCATCTGAGAACCTGCCTTGTGGAAGATTCCCTATGACAATAAGGCTGTCTTGCTCACCTGGGGCACTGACCACACTGTACCAGGTCACCTAGATTGTCTGTACAAAAATGTGATTTATGGTGAACACCTCCTTCCCATCTGGGAGTCTGGAATTTTGGTCATTGCGGCTGGATACCTACACGACCAATCCCAAATGAAAGCCCTGGCCTTGGCGTGTCAGGTGTGCTTCCCTGGGCAGAAACACTGCACACATATTGCTGTTCTTCACTGCTGGAGGAAGAAGTATGTTTTGTGCAGCCTCTCCCTGCTTCCTCAATGAGAAGAACTTTGCAAACTTGCACCTGGATTCCTCCAGAATCTGGCTGAGGTGTCTTTTTCCCTTGCTGATCCTGCTGTATATCCTTTTGCTGTAATAAACCACAGCCATAAGTAGAAGCGTCCTGCGTCCTGGGAGTCTTTCTAGAGAATCACTGAATGTGTGGGTGGCTGTGGATCCCTGAAACACAGCCAGTAACCTCTAGAAATTTACTCTACAAAAATAATCAAGCAGGTGGGCAAAGATATCTGTACATAGATGGTTATTCCAGTAGTTTTTATAACAGTAAAAAATGGCAATGACCTACATATCCTTAAATAGAAGCCTGGCTAAAATGAGGATGATCCATCTACACAATGGAATCCTTTGTGGATGTTAAAAGGATGATGCTGATCAGTATTTCATATGGTGTGCTCCTTTTTTTTTTTTTTTTTTTTGGTGAGGAAGATTGGCCCTGAGCTGACATCTGTGCCCATCTTCCTCTATTTTGTATGTGGGATGCCGCCACAGCATGGCTTGACAAGTGGTGCATAGGTCCATGCCCAGGATCGGAACCCACGAACCCCAGGCCACCAAAGCAGAGCACGCAAACTTAACTGCTACGCCGCCGGGCCAGCCCCCTAGCCTGATCCTCTTAATGGCCGTTTCTTGGCTTCTACAGTCAAACATGTTTGGGGGAAAATCCAGGGTGACAAAATCAAAAATATTTCTTTACTGAAAGAAAAGCCCAGGGACAGAGCAATGGAAGCAGCAGATGGAATGCCTCTACCCTGGGCTGGTTTGACCAGAGATCATTTCTGTATTGGAAAAGCCCAAGGAGCCACTGTTCCAAGGAATATTTTGTTGTTTTTTTTGTGTGTGAGGAAGATCAGCTCTGAGCTAACATCTGCCAATCCTCCTCTTTTTGCTGAGGAAGACTGGCCCTGGGCTAACATCTGTGCCCATCTTCCTCCAATTTATACGGGATGCTGCCACAGCATGGTCTGACAAGCAGTGCATCGGTGTGCGCCCGGGATCCGAACCCGGGCCGCCAGCAGTGGAGTGCGCGCACTTAACCACTACGCCACGGGTCCAGCCCCTCCAAGGAACATTTTGGAAAACACTGATGTAGAACTACAGGCATAAATAATGATGTTAAACAAAAGGTAAAAACAAGAAAAGCAACTTCCAGTGCATATAACATGACCCATTTCTTTTCTTTCTTTTTTTTTTTTTTTTT